CAACCTGCCCCATGAATCCAGCTCTTAACCATGCATATCTGCAGCTGCCTGGTGCCAATCCATCTCTCCAAATGAGCACTGTGTCTGGCTCTCCAACCAGCGCCTCCCCTCCATGGGTCATTATTCCATATTTCAGCTTCAGTTCCAGAAGTTAACAGGCCATCTGAAGCCCACCTGCTACTTTGGTGTTTTGGGACAGGAAGGGAGGAGAGCACGCCTTTTTTTTTCTTTTCACTTTGCACGTGAATCCAGGGCTAAAAGGCTCAAACAACAACTCGGCACGAGACTGAGCAGTCGCAAGAGAGAATGTAAGAGAGGTCACAGCTGGGACAGTCCACCCGCACAATCAAGCGTGGTTTATGTGCAACTGATGGATAATTTGCTTGTGGAGTACACAACACCCAAAGCTATTTATTTACACGAATTGAACTCTATAGAGACCATGAAAAACTGGTATTTCCCCACTGACAGAGGGAATAATGGGGCCAAACAAAAATGTTGCCAAGGGACCAGAAGCTTTTTTAATTTCAAGGTTTTTCCATAGAGGAAGATGAGCCCAAATCCTGCACAGTTATAATGTAAACTCCATAAATCACATTCTTAACCTGGAATCCAGCTTTGGACACAGCTGAGTCAGTGATGACGATGGGTTGGTCAGTTTATTAAACTCTGTCACAACTACAACTACTGTAAACTGGTCACTTAACCATACACAGTCTTACTTTATAATAGGGGTATACACCTGTAAGCTATCCAGTTGTACCATTACAGGTCAAGTGTGCAGGATTTAAGGTGACATATCCTCCTGAGACCCGAACTTTTGTTTGGTATACATTTTTAATTTCTCCTACTTGAGATCAGAAGGTAAGGTATACCGGTAAGTATAAAAATCGAAACATTGTCAACGATTATAAAGTCCCAATGCCCTCAAATGAGAATAAAAAAGTCCCAATGTCTTCAAACGTGACAACAATAAAGTCCCGATGTCTTCAAATGTGACAACAATAAAGTCCTGATGTCCTCAAACGTGACAACAATAAAGTCCCGATGTCTTCAAACGTGACAACAATAAAGTCCTGATGTCTTCAAACGTGACAACAATAAAGTCCCAATGTCCTCAAACGTGACAACAATAAAGTCCCAATGTCCTCAAACAAGTACTCCCTAATTAAAAGTGTCTTAGCTTGTTACTGTTGCTAAAATTGGTATATATAGCATATCAAACTTGTGATCAGGTTTTGGACCTTGTCCACTTTTGGGTCTGAATCAGCTGCAGACTGACTTGGCAGAGATGGCTGCCATCTTGTTTTTACATGGATTAGTGTATTGTGCTCTTACTACCACTAGATGGCACAAATAAAGTGTCCACTGACGAGGACAACAGGTCTGAGTTAAGCATTATGAAGTATAAGGTCAAGTAAACCCAAAATGTGTTGTCCTCATATGAGGACACAGGGTCTCAAGAGGATATTGGCAGAAATGGAATATGATCAATATATTTTCTTTAGTGTATAATCACCTGAAAATAAGAACTGTTGTGTTTTCATTAACTTTGAATAAGCTGTTTATGTCAACATAAGAGGCGAGTGCTCATTTACAGAGATCGCCATGTTGCACCGCCATGATTCTACAGTAGCCCAGAACAGACAAACCAAACACTGGCTCTAGATACTGTCGTTCACATTATTGCATTGGCCACCATGGTAAGCAGCCCTCTCTGCGTCAATAGTGTTGGAAAAACACTTTTTTTTGTACATGAAACTGCTTTATTCAGGGTTTTTTACCAGTTTAAATCAACTGATCCGTTTGTTTTATTCCGTTTTTATTTGTTTAAATCACCATTCAAATGTGTTTGTTTTGCAGAGGACGAGTCCTCCGGGGATAATTCAGCTACCTGTAAAAACCTCCAGAACAATGAACACTGAGGGAATTCTAACTAGAAGTTTCAGCTGGTTGCAATCTGCAGTCCTCACCACTAGGTGCCACTAATCCCCCTTAAATCTTGCACACTGAACCTTTAAAAATACTAATTCTAAATAATTTGTTCTCTGACTAAATTCCAAAAAGTCTATTTTGCATTTGAAGTGACGCTTGTTGGTATCTGACCACAATATAAAGGGTTCTTGTTGAGTCTAGAACACCATCAAAACAACTTTGCTTCCTTTATTGTTTGAGAATATGAAAGATATTTTGCTCAAGATTGAGTGGTTATTAATTCCTGACATTATCCTGAACTCTCAAAACACAGAGTGGGATAATAAAAACACTTTAGTTAAAATATCTTTGTGGTCTCTCTGCTTTATTTCAGAGTCAGTGGTGAACCTGCAGCGTGTGGGTTTTAAACCCTGGTTGTGGTGTACAGTAGCTATTAATTGCACTGAAATGATGAACTCTAACAATCTCCTGCTGCTACCTCCACAGGTGCCTGCTTTGGAAAGGTCAGTACCAAGGAAAAACATCAGGCCTGGTATGTGGGCTGTGTTGAGGTCACGCACAGTACAGGTGGGTAACAAACTTAAGAGCTGAACATGATATTAAGTGTACCTAAATAACACTCCAGTAGAACAACATGTTTGGTAACTAATGTTGTCTTTAGTGATGTTACAACCCAATGCTCCCAAGTGAGCCAGTAATAAGATAATGCTAGTCTCTTTGTTTCTCCAGCGATGTTGTTTTGACACAACTTTTTATAGATTCTTAGTATTACAAAGTTCAATACCAAGACTTAGTGGAAAACAGAAATATTTTGGTATTCTTTGATGTTTCCAGCAAGACAGCAAATTCAATTTAAAGTGTCAAGCATTGATGAGCAAGAAGCTTTTGCAACTGCTGATTAATGAAAATTTAATCAAGGCAGGTGGCGTTCAGCCAGGATGTATTACAACATTTGCATCCATGTCTTGTTTGCAAGGTTGGCAGTAAGAGGACACTTCTGCAGTGTGTTCTCACTCAATTACAAGAGGAGAGGGATAAGAGGCTGGTTGGAGGGGCACATTTTGGTTATAATGTATGAATATCTATAGACTTATAAATTCAGCAAGATATTTAGGCTTTTTGCAGATCATAAACTGGTCAAGATTAGAGCTTGAGTTTGCATAGCTGTACTTGTCTGCGAAACGATGTGACTGGCTTGCATTTTCCTTCTTGATACCATGAAAATCTTCTTATTAAAGGAATACTTCACCCATAAAATGACCACTTGCATATCAATTACTCATCCCAGCTGTGAATGAAGTATCTGAAAACAGGGAACATTCTTAATGTACTGAAGGGAGGCCACACTAAACACCAGCAAAACTATATCAAAACATCCATTTCAGTCAGGAACACTTTGGTCAAAGAAAACGTTATTTCAATTTGCAGTATTATATTTGGCAGTATGGCTCTGTTCTGGGGCCTACGCAAAAAGCCTCTTCCACGCGCCTACATGGAAAGTGATATAGTGTTGCTGTTGTTAGATGTAGTCCCTCTATACTTAAATTCAAGATTTTCACTGTGAAGGCATGTGGCACGTGCTTATTTTGTGGGTGAAGTATTCCTTTAAATGCACATCTAAAAATCATACAGGTGAGTTAAGAATTGATCAACAAAAACACATTAGCTATAACAGTCTTTGTAGCACAGGGGTCAGCAACCTTTATGATCAAAAGAGCCTTTTTTTAAAAACCAAAAACTAAATTTTAAAAAATCTGCCTGGAGCCACAAGACATATCTGAACCTTATGAGGACAACACCACCTATATCCTCCTGAGACCCTGTGTCATCATGAGGACATTACATTTTGGGTTTACTTGACCTTATACTTTATTCTGCTTAACGCAGACCTGTTGTCCTCGTCTGTGGACACTTTTTTGTGCCATCTCACAGTAGTAAGAGCACAATACACTAATCCATGTAAAAACAAAATGACTGCCACTCGGCCAAGTCAGTCTGCAGCTGATCCCGACACAAAAGTGGACAAGGTCGAAAACCTGATCACATTATATCGTTGAAACTTGTTTGAGGACGTTGGGACTTTGTTAGCGTTGACAATGTTTAGTTTTTTATACTTATTGGGCCCTACAGATCACAAATATCTAGGAGAAATTAAAAATGCATACCAAACAAAAGTTTGGATCTCAGGAAGATATAGTCTAAATGAGCTATCATCATCCATTAATGTGTTTGGCTCCTCTGCAGTGGGCTATTTATGATTATTTGGTACTTTAACTTTGCAGCATTGGTGGTGAAATCAAATTAATCTGTCCACACACTATTACATTTTGTAATTTGTCTCCAAGACTTTAACTTTCTTTAATTTGGAATCCATAGCTAGTTACAGAGACTCAAGAGTAGCCACTGCTATTGAGGAAAAGGCACCAGGCTGTAGACATACATTTTAACTGATGAAATGTTACTTTTTTTTTACCCCTGGAAAATGGGATCATTTCTTTATGATAAATGACAATTAAAATGACAAAAAAAAGGTTACTTATTTATTTTCATGTAATTCTTTAACAAAGCCACAAGTGGCTCCAGAGGCACAGGTTGCTTATCCCTGACCTAGGAACTAAATACATTAAGCAAAGCAATTGTTTTTAACACTAGTACTCAAAGTTAGCCAACTATGTGAATGTTGTCCTAATATACACATTGACTGTACAGACACATAGCTGTAAATGGTTCACACAAGCAGGTTTAGTTATTGTGATAACTTGACTGAGTAAAGGGTCAGGTCTTAATACGTTTCACTTCACATCCAGCTTTTTCAGCAAAGTTTCCACGTCTTTGATCTTTGTAGTTGAACTATTAAAGCATGCTTTCTTCTATAGGAAGACTAACACTCAGGATGACCTTCAAAACAGCAAAGCCCATAGAAGTCTTGCTAAAGGACACTTTATCGTCTTCTTTGTGATGCCCAGTCTTCATTCACTGCCTAACCTGCTTTCGCTAAGATTAAATATACACTGAGGTTTTTGTTCCAGTAGACAGTCCCAATAGTTGGAAATAAAAACACAACATTGACAAGTTTTTACTCTTTATTCATCGAGACAACAAAGACAATAAAAGCAGAGCAAAATTAAACAAATCTTCAGTCTTCAAAATCTTTTGATCATAATTAAAATCAGTATATTTTACAGTAAGGGGACAAGAGCAATCAATGTGAGCTCTAAGTGGAGGAGAAAAGAGACACGCCCTGCCATGGGACTAACATTGTACATACGCTTTCAACTGACTTTTTAAAAAGGTCAAGGAGTGAAGTGGAACCTGACAAACCAAAACAAACCACAAGCACTGTTTTTTTATTTTATTTTTTTTTATTAAATTTGCACTAAATGCCAAGAAACAAGGAGGATGTGTAAAGATTCTCAAAGTAAGAACACAAAAACCCATAATGAACTTCTGTAAGTTTGGTTTTCAGAGTGATGCCTGTCTGACATCTAGACCAAGAAATACATCAGATGAACCACAACTACCCTCATCCAGCCAAAAGATAAGACAGGTGATGGAACATGGAAATCAAATGTATTTTTCCCCCCTCTCTCCTCATTTACACATGTATGTTCATGTTTTTAAATAAGCCACTACACATTTGTGGTTCACCTTGTTTTTAAGCAGCGTAGTGTCAGGTTCAGGGAAAGGATGGGTGCGCTCTTCCATTTCTTCCTCCACCAGATATCCCAGCTTCCCCTGTTGAGCAAAAATGTTCACAAAATGCAATGTTAGCAAAGGTCCCACGACTCATGCTTGTAGCAGCAGCTGCTGCTACCTGAGCAATAATACCATCTACGTTAATACTCAAATATATCCCTCGATTTAGCCAAAGAGGAAAGTGTAGATGATAAACAAGAGACACTGCTAATAATGCACAAATACTAACCATAGACTAGCACAATAGTAGAATTTGGCCAGAATGTTGTGTTTTGTAAATATTTGCTCATTTATCTTTAACTGTATGATTTTGATCAGACGTTTGCACTTATGATTAATCTAAAAAAAAAGGTTTAATCACCACGTTAATGTTTTAAAAACAGTGACAAAACTGTTTGATATTCCTTATGCCAAAGCAAAAGTGTGCTTAATTTTTTATATCAGATTCTATGACCAATTAAGGATGCAAACAGCATCCTTATATCCTAACAAAACTTTAGTCCTTAGCAACAGGAAAATATACACATTTGTAGCAGTTGGCATAGGGTCTATCAAGCAGCCCGTCTGTGCATCTCAGCATTTAAAAAATGTCTCTTTCTGACATTTCTATGAAGTGACCTTTTCCCCAAACAAAGTTAGCAAATAGGAAAAAACAAAGAAACCCAATAAAAAATATACACATTCAAGCTTTCAAAGTTCAAGTTCTGGATAAGTACAGAATTGTTTTTCTGACAGGCAACAGCATTCAGAAAATGGATGTGGGTAGAGAAAGGAGTACCTGGGGTGAGTACCTGCACAGTTTGACAGTCAGAGAGTATCCATGATTTTTAATTTGCCCTTTTCTCATGTGGTCTCGCTCACAACACCAACGCTGTGTGAGGTATGGAAGTCAGCTGCAATTCATTTGATAAACCCTACCCTCCAGTTAGTTGGTTACGTAAGGCCCCCGGTGCTATGACACCCCCCAAACACACACTGCATGGCATTATCAGGCACAGTAAGCTGGACAACAAAATCCATGGCATTTGAGTCATGATTACGGCAAAATGAATGGCTTATTTTTCCACATACACCTTTGACGATAGCTGAAAGTACAGAGGCTGATATGTCTTCCTATATGGAGTGCAATATTTCAGCAAATCAAAACAACTACATTTTTCTACTTCAAAGTAAAAAAACAAAACAAAAATAAACAAAAACAGGTAAATACAGGCAGGAAAATTTGATTGGACTAGTTAATATTTTTTTCTGCCATTTTGTCCACAAAGACAAATATACATCTTTAAGGATCAAAAACCGATACAAAACGAGGGGTACCTCCGGGCATGTTTGCTCAGGGCTACACTGGCCTTTCCCTCTTGGCTTTGTGTGAATGATTTCTACCTTCTTCTCATTCATCGGGCCTAGTCCTTCATCTTCAGTGCATACTTATGATGCACTATTCAAAAACAGGATAAAGATATATGCACATAGTACATAAGACAAAATCATAGGCATTGAGCTGAATGTAAACAGGGTGGGAGAGGCAGGGTGAGAGGGTGGGTAAGGGAGATGGGAGAGGTGGGGGCGTGGGAGGGTGGAGGGGTTGGGTTGAGAGCCAGGGGGTAGCGAGGAGGAGGACGCACTTACCTGAGCCTGATCTGAGGTCCTATCAGATCAGTTTTAATTGGACTGAGTGTCACCTTCAGAATGGAGGAGCTCTTGCTGGCCGTTAAGCAGAGGAGAGGCAGAGGCAGCCGCCTCAGTCTCCATCGGTTCCGCTTCGGACGAAGCCTTGATGGCAGCTGCGTCGCCGTCAGAGTGCTTGTCTTTCTTAGAGCTGCTCCTTTCCTCCGTCCCCTTACGGTCTGGGAAAACAGAACACGTCATTGTCAATTAGAAAGCTGAGCACACTCGAGAGGAAAAAACACAGCACCTAATGTTAGAGCAAATGAGTAACCTCACCTTTGTCTTTTGATGACCGCTCTCCATCCTTGTCTCTCTTCTCCTCTCTGTCCCTGTCCTTGCTGCGGCTGCGATGGCGGTGAGATTTGCGGTCTGAGCTGCGCGACCTCCTCCTGTCGCGACTGCGGGACCGACGCTTTCTGTCAGAGCGATCACGGCTGCGCCTCCTGTCCCTGTCTCTGTCCCTTTCCCTATCCCTGTCCCGGCTCCTGTAAAAAGAGGGAGGGGAGTAAGTTATTAAGACAATTGAAAGATACATAAAAACAAACACAGTGGCGAACATACTTATTTTCGCAGTATATTTGATTTTCAACAACCCTACCTGCTGCGTTTGCGTTCCCTCTCTCTGTCCTTGTCTCTGCTCCGAGACCTCCGGCGATCTCGGGATCGGCTCCTTTTCCTGTCCGATGCGCGACTGGAGTGGCGGCTGTTGGAGTGGCTTCGCCGTGATCTCCGGTCCCGGTCTCTGTCCCTGTCTCTGTCTCTATCTCTGTCTCTGTCCCGTTCTCTGTCTCTGTCTCTCTCCCTCTCGCGCTCCCGTTCTCTCTCGCGCTCCCTCTCCTTTTCACGCTCCTTCTCCCGCTCCTTCTCCTTCTCTTCCTCCTCTTTGCGCTTTTTCTCTCTTTCCTCCCTCTCACGCTCACGGTCTTCTCTGTCCCTCTTTAGCGCTGGGCTTTCACCTTGGGGCTCCTCCGAGCGACGACGTAGTTTCTCCTGAGAGTAAATAAGCCAGTGTTATTACAAGTTGATCAGTATATTTCAAACCAGAGCAAAAGTCAAACATAGAAGATCCTTTACTTTATTAAAAAGTAGGAGACCAAACAATATACAATATACTTTACTTGGAACACTGTCAATAATACTATGTAATAGTAGAAAATAATTAAGTCTGCACACCACTGCTTAAAAAACAAAACGATTTCCTAATTTGCCAGATGTTTCTTTGGTCCAGCACCCACTCCAGTGGACATTGGGATGTGCATTTCTTTTATAAATAAATATATATATATATATATATATATATATATATAAAAATCCTGTTACCTTGAGCTCCTCTACAGTGGATTTGATCTTGGCGTAGCCCATGTGTTGCTTGCCCATCAAGTGGTCGTCCACCCTGGACTGTGCGTCACCCACAATGAGGAAGGCCCCACACACCTCACACACCTCCATCTGTTTCTCCTGGGCTGCAAAGCTCTCGATGGTCTGGATGAAAGGTACATGTATTACATCATTAAACAATGTAATACGCAACATACTTCTACTTTGCTTAGAGTGAGGAATGACTTTTAGCTAGGCATGATGACTGTCAGTGGAACTGGTGGAATAATCTTCAGCCCAAGCTTAGTTTGACTTTGATCAATTGTATAAAAAACAAAAACATGTTTGCCATCAGAGAACATTACATGAGCAGCGCCTGCTATCCTGAGCAGTGTCTGTGGGCCAATTGGCCCGGAGTTAGCTGACTCACTGAGGGGGTGGAGCTGAGCAGCTCCCTCTCCTCCTTCAGCTGCTCCACCAGCTTCATCATTCCCTGGGCCTCCTCCACTCTGCCCTCCGACCCCAGCTCCTCAATCTGGGCGAAAGCAAAAGAGAGACGAGTCAGATCAGCTGTTTCATCACGATGCAGTGTCAAAACACTGACAAGCAGATGAGAACAAGGATGTCTTATGAGGTCATTTCATTCAAGTATGCAAGGATAAGAAATTATCTTTTCTATGTTGATACTTTTGTTTGTTTTACAAACCTGTACAACTAGGTCTTCAATCTTCTCTGTTAGAACCTGGACCTTCTCCTCATTCTTCCCTGATGGACCAGGACCCTAAAGAAATAAACACAATGTATCTCAGGCAGAAACACACGTCATTTGTTTCTGGGGACATAGTTTCCATAGCAATATAAAATGACAGAAGGATGTGCTAAGGACACTGTGAGTATATAGTGCCTCAGTTTATTTGACAACTGAAGCTACATAAACGCTCTTAGAAGCAATAAAGCAATGTGCATGAGTTACAGAACAATGTGCCAAAACCAAAAGCACCAACCCCTGCATTCTGCTGAGCCTGGGAAAGTGCCAGCCGGGCATGCCCTCTGCGAATCCTCCGTTCCACCTCTGCCAGGAGTGACTGCAAATACCGCAGGAAGTCTCGCTCGTAACCCTCCTTCATGAACCGGGAGCTTTTCTCATACCTGGACACAGTGAGATGAAGCAGTTTATTATTAGGTAAAAAAATATCATGACAAGCAGAAATAATGTTATGAAACAGAATCAGAACTTACGTTATTCTAAGATTTTCATCATGGATTTTCTCACAAGGGCCTGAAAGAGATTGCAAAGTCAATTACTGCTGTATGAAAACATATTAAAGTATTGTTATTCATTTACAAATCATTGACTTACCCAAGTCAGAGCGGGTGTTTGTGAACAGCTCAGCTGGACAGAAGCCACACAGATAATATCGACAGACCTTTGTAATCAAAACAGACTTTAATTAGCATCATATCTCATAGTATTATGCTTAAAATCTCTGCGCTAGAGTTTAAGTTACGTTTAACTTATGTTAACTGGGAACAAATGAGCCACAAGTCAGTCCTTTAATGGATTTAACACCAACATGTACTTTCTTATGTCTCATATTACCAATTAAATGCACACAGCAAAGCATGATGTGGCTCTAACGATTAGGTAAACAATAACTCTCACTCAAAGCTAATACTAGCTGCAGGGCAACACTGTAATCCACAACGTCTACAGCCGCATTGTGAGCCAATGTAGTACCATTAGCATTAGCACCCTCGTGTGCCAATTTTACTAATAAACAACACTCAAAATTAGCACGAACACAACCAATATGGTGCGTTATCATTAAAGTCTACACTAATGATAGAAGGTTTATTTTAGCTAACTCCTACATTCCAAAAACTTTAACCAAAGGTATCTTAGCTAGCTAACGGTACGTGGCTAGGCTAACGTTAGCTACAATGCTAACTTACGCTCTCATCGTCCCAGCGTACGTTGGACCGCTTCTCGTCCGGGGCCAAGTTTCTATCTCGGCCCATTAACTCGTCGAGTAACTGGGCTGCTGAAAGCATTTTGCCTACAAGAATGTAGCGCTGATTAAAAATACTACGATATCTCCTGTAGAGCCAGCTAACACCATCTATTGCGCGCAAGGATCTTCTAATCAAAATGGCAGACGCTGTGACAACACCGCCCGTTTATGGTTCAACCACAGCCAGTCCGGCAGCAGCGCCATCGGCCTCTGAACCGGAAGTACATGTTGACCATATGCTGTGAGTCTGTGAGCGTTGATGTGTCAGTATGTGTGAAATTATTGTGTAGTAATACATCCATGATTCAGCTCAGTAATTTTAAAGTATGAACTCATATGTTCGGAACAACTCAGAATAAATAACAATATCATAAACAAATAAATAAATCTTATTAGTAGAAATATCTGACCAACTGTTAGGCCTACATTCTTTTTAATTGTTCCGGTCCCATACTGTGGCCACTGGAGGGCGCACCCTGAGTGTATAACATTAATGTTATCATCATTTCATGACACACACACA